AAACCAATTGTTTCCACTACTAAAGTACTGTGTGTTGCGTCAGGGATAAGGCGGCTGGCGCAACCTCCCAGTCCTGGTGGAGGGCGCGACGTTAGCGCAGACTGCCGCAGGCGCGCGCCGCGCCGTGCTGTTCCAGAGCGGGGGTGTGGCAGTGGCCTGCGGCAGGGCGGCCGGCGCGACCTCCCGGGTTGGCGGAGGGTGCGAGCTGCGCGCAGATTGCCGCCAGAGCGCACCATGCTGTTCTGCTCCGGAGCGTCGGCATTGCCGTGGTTTCGACAGGGGTGCCGAGGGCCACTGCGACTTCCCGGCGCTGGCGGAGGGCGCGAGCTCACGCGTTGGCTGCTGTCGGACAGTGCCACGGCGCTTCGATTTGGAGCGATGGCGTTGCCGTGGCCGGCGGAGGTCGCGAGGTGCGCGCAGGCTGCGTCTGGATGGTTCCACGCCGATCTAGCTAGGTGCTCCTGAGCATTGCCGCGACCTGCGGTTCCTGGCGAGGGCCACCGCCGACTGCCAGATTGCCACGGGCGCGCCGCGCCTCTGTGTGCGAGCGACTGCGGTGGCCCATGCGGGGTATTTGGTGCCCGCGCTGCCGCTGCAGGCATCGCTCGTCGGCGACTGGCTGCCCTTCCTGATGTTCGGTGGCGCGGAGCGCTTCGAGTCGGCGCCCGCTGCTGGCCTTGCGAGCATTCGCAAGCATGTGGTGGAGGAGCAACGAAATGACAGGCTCGGCACCGGGTCTATCGCGCGCGCCGATCCCGCCCTACTGGGGCGCCGGCTGCGCTGCGAGACGGCGGCCGTGGCTGCGGCTGTGCGACCCGCCGCGGGCGGCAGGGAATCGGGGACTCAAGCGGGCCCGAGCTTGTCGTGGATTCGCCGGCGCCCCTTCTCGCTGCGCGTCAGCCAGAATCAACCGCGTCGTTGGCGGCGAGCCCCAGTCTGGAGGCCCCCCCGCGCATGACTGGTGGGGTGGCGTGCCCGTGGGGGGGGGTTCTCATTGGCGGCGCGACTCTGCTTGTCCTGGTGCCGACGAGATCCGCTGCCGAGGCGCGCAGTCAAGACAGCTTGGACAGCGCGGTTCTCCACCGATCTCTACGCGGTGACCACTGCGCGCAGCGCGTCGACCAGCCAGACACCTGAGTACACCAGGCCCCTTAGAAGGCGAGGGGGGGGGGACGGTGATGGACATGGGCGCGCTGGGTCTCGCCCACCTGGAGGGGTGCATCAACGTCGACGGTAGCGTCGAGCGCGAAGGTGAAGCTTGCTTGAGAGGAGAATCGCTTGGATGGTGTAGTTTGCAAAATCGCTGGTTCGCGCCAGGGCCCTGGAGAAGGGCGATGACGCGTGTCTTCTCGATGTTGCGGGCCGACTCGCAGACCCCACTACTCAAGAATGCGGTTCTGGCGCTGGCTGTGATGCTCGGGAGGGCGCGCGGGGAATGGAATGCGATGGCGGTGCTCGCTCATTGAAGCATTGAGACGATGATCCCATCTCTTGGGGTTGGAACTCGCGATGTGGGCTTGCAGCGATGGCAAACGCGAGCCAGCCCGAGTGCAGGTCTTAGACGCGAGATCGGGAGTCGGGAAAACGTAAGACTCGAGTAAGCCGGAACTCGGACTCGCGGACGTTATTTGACGAGCGCGTCCTGGATTTTGACGGTCCGGTTTTCGTGGGATGTTTTCTGCTGGATCTCGCGGCAGATTTCAGATTGGGCCTCGTCATTTTCATCGTGGTCCCGTCAGGCCAACCCGAGTGCCCCGCGCCCGCGTCCGACGTCTCCCCGAGTGCTGGCTGTCGCGGGGCCACTTGCTTCAGCGAAAGGTGAGCTGAAGCCGCCCCTGAACATCCGCCCCTGGGCTGAGCCCCGCGGGCGCCGCTCCGCGCCCGCCGCCGTCGCCGCCGGCGCTGAGGCCCACCAGCGCTCCCGTCGAGCACCAGGAGCTGACGGAGGCGCGCGAGAGTTTCGCGCGTCTGCGGGGCTGCGCCGACCGCGCCAGCGTCAGATCCGCGCGCCGGGCGCACTCGGGCCAGCGGGCCCGGCGGTGCGCGCCGCGCGACTTCGGCCAGCCCGCGGTGTCTCCGCACGTGCGGCAGCGAGCGCGCCGACTTTTGCACGGGCTCGACGCGTCGAAGACGGCGGGGGCGACGGCGGCATCTGCGGCCGTGGCCCTAACGGCCGAGCCTCCTGGAGGACCCCCCTCCGGGCACCCCCGGCGCCCTTGGCCGCCCCGCCGGAAGCCGAGCCCGCGCAGAAGTGGGCGAGACGAGGCCCTCCGGAAGGAATTCAGCCGACATCGATGCGGGCCAGCGGGAGTTCGGCCTGGCAGGGGGCGCGGCGTGCAGGGGCAAGAGTCAGGGCACCGTCGGCAAGGCCAGCCGTCGAGGCCTCGCACGTCGCCGTCGTCGAGGCAGCTGCGCAGAGGAGAGGCAGGGATCGAGGGGCGCCGGCGTCCAGGAGTGCTGGAAAGCAGCATGCAAGTCGACCCTGTAGACTGCTCATCAAGCGCGACTGGGGTCGACAGTCATCGACGCGCGTGCGCTGCCAGCCGGCCGCGAGGTCGCCGCCGCCTCCGCTAGACGATCGAGGCGCACACGGAGGCGTCGGGGGCGGCCCGCTGCGGGGGCGTCGCAGCCACCTATGCGACCCCATGCGCCGCGGCGCTCCTCGCTTGCGGCGTCTGTGGCAGCGCCGAGGATCTGTGGGCGCGGTCTGGCCCGCGCGTGGAGGCTCGAATCTGGCAATCCCGATGCTGGACCTCGTCGTCCAGCCGTGCGCATGGAGAAACCCTTCGAGCATGGCCAGGTCGAGGTGCTCCCCGCGGCGCCCACGCGCCAGATTCGAGGCCCCACCACGAGCGCGGTCCTGGTGGGCGGGCTGGCACCGCGGCGATCGGGGCTCGCGCTGGCGGAAGTGGCCGCCCGGCTCGGCACTCTCTCCTAGGCAGTCGCACTCGTCCAAGGAGAGGTCCTCGCAGGCGCGGTGCGCTCTGATGTTTTTTTTGGTGGGGCCCCACGTTGCGCTTTGCCTCGCGAGAGGAATCGGACGGGGCCAGGGCGAGGACGCGTCCGCTCCTGGAACACTCTCAGGAGGCCGCGGCGCCCGAGGCATTTTGCAGAGCTGCCGAAGCCCAGAGATTCTCGATTTGCCTTCGCCCGATGTTCTTCAGCGAGCGAAGAACGGTATGAGGTAAACTTTTTCGCCGTCGGGGACACCTGCCCCAGGGCGGCTGGAAAGCTTATACCCCTACGGTGCCACCGTAAGGGCATAAACTTCCCAGCCGCCCAGGGGCAGGTGCCCCCGACGGCGAAAAAGTTTATTTTATACCGTTTTTCGCCCGTTAAGTTCTCCTCTTCCTGGCGTCGTCTTCAAAAACGCTGCATGCACCAGGGGTTGCTTCGTGAAGGCCCTCCGGCGTATGGCTTCCCCGGCGCGCGCGTTCCGCTCTCCGCGGCCCGGGCCCGGCCCCGCAACGGAGCAGTCGCCGCGCGCGCTCGCCGGCTGCGGCGCCGACGTCGTTTCCCGCCTCATTGCCGTCGTGTCGGAGGACAGGAATTTTACCCATACCGCTACCCTTCCCTCGTTGAAAACGACGCGAAGATCGGGACAAAATCGGATCGGGATAACTCGAAATCTCGGAGAATCGGCGGGTTTGGAGGACGTATTGGGCGCCGCGGCCGCTCCAGAGCGTTCCGGAACGCTCTGAGAGCGCTACAGAACGCTCTGGAGCGATTTATCCCGATCCTAGCCCTGTTTTATCGTTTTACTCTTGTTGGGCCTCCTGGCGGGGCCCTCGTCGCCACCGCTGGATTCGCCTCCAAGTCCTGGTCAGGACGCGTCCCGGGAGGGGTTCGGGGAGCAGCGGTATCGGTACCTGCTGGTTTTCCCGAGGGGGGGGAGGGGGGCTCGACTGAGGCGCGCATGCTCGAACAACACGGGGAAGGTTCTGGGCGGACGCCCGGCGCGTCCTCTCGTCCACGCGTGCCGCGCCGCGCCCGCTCGCCCGCTCGCCGCGGCTTCCGTCGGTGGGCCACTGGGTGTTGCGACGGGTGCAGCACCGAGCTCTTCCTCCCCCTCCCCCTCCTCCTCCTCCTCCTCCTCCTCCTCCTCCTCCTCCTCCTCCTTCCCCTCCTCCTCCTCCTCCTTCTCCTCCTCCTCCTCCTCCTCCTCCTCCTCCTAGGCACAGTGCTTTCCAGCCGTCGTTGTCCCAATCACGATGCACAAGCTGGGCACTGTGTTTTTCTTCGTGCAGTGCGTGCCCTCCCTCTCTCGCCCGCCTTCCGCGGCCGCCCTCCGTCTTCTCCTCCCTCCTTGCAGCCAGGCAGTTCCCTGGTGCCCGGTCCCCGCCTGCTCGAGCGCGCGTGCGAACAGTCATGATTTGTTTGTTCATCCTCTCTGTAGGAGGGACAAGTCTAGAGGGATGGAGAGCCTCCCTCCCTCCTTCCCCCCCCCCCCTTCCGTAGACCCCCCCACGCAAAAAACGCATTCGTAATGTCCAAGAGTCCTTGGAATCCGCTCCCCTTGAAAACCCACGCTGATCTCTCGTAGGCCTTCTTAGCCCAATCCTCCCTCCTCCAACTCTCCCTTCTCCTCCTCCGCCTCCTCCTCCTCCCAACGTTTTTCCCCTCCTTCCTCCGCCGCCCCTCCCCCGCAGCCCAAGCCCGAGCCATTCCCTTCCCTCCCTTATCCTTCCTCCATCCCCACCTCATCTCGCCCTCCCCCCCAGACCCCCGACGCGATGATTTTTGCACAATTTCGACCCCCTAGAGACCTCGACCGATTCCCTGGGACGGGTTTCTCATCCAGAGTCGTTCTTTGACGGTCCCGAGGCCCCGCAATCCGTCAGAGGCCGAAAAGAGCGAAAAACCCATCGTCGTGATTTCTTCATGACTCGAGGGAGTACGGGCCCCTCCCTCCCTCATCCCTCCCTCCGCCGTCCCTCCCTCCATCCACCCCACCCCCCTCCCCCTCCTGCCTCATCCGGGGGGCCGGGCCCGGCCGCGAGGCACAGAGCACGACCACCGCCGCTACCACCGTCACGACCACCGCCGAAAACACGACTACGCCCTTCGACTGCCAGGAAGGTCCGAGGGCGGAGGAGGAGGGGGAGGATGAGGAGGAGGAGGAGGAGGAGAAGGATGAGGAGGAGGAACTCGAGGATGAGGAGGAACTCAAGGAGGAGGAGCAGAGTGAAAATGATGATGATGATGATGATGATGATGATGATGATGATGATGATGCTGATGCTGATGCTGATGCTGATGCTGATGCTGATGCTGATGCTGATGCTGCTGCTGCTGCTGTTGCTGCTGCTGCTGCTGATGATGATGATGATGATGATGATACTCATAATGATGATGGTAATAATAATGATGATAATAATAATGATGATGATGATGCTGATGCTGATGCTGATGCTGCTGATGCTGATGCTGATGCTGATGCTGATGCTGATGCTGCTGATGATGATGATGATGATGACGACGATGATGATGATGATGATGATGATGATGGTGATGCTGCTGCTGCTGATGATGATGATGATGCTGATGCTGATGCTGGTGCTGATGCTGATGCTGATGCTGATGAGGATGAGGATGAGGATGAGGATGAGGATGAGGATGAGGATGAGGATGAGGATGAGGATGAGGATGAGGATGAGGATGAGGATGAGGATGATGATGATGATGATGATGATGATGATGATGATGATGATGATGATGATGATGATGATGGTGCTGGTGCTGGTGCTGTGCTGGTGCTGGTGCTGGTGCTGGTGATGGTGGTGGTGGTGATGATGATGATGAGGAGGAGGAGCAGGAGGAGGAGGAGGAGGAGGAGGAGGAGGAGCCGCAGCAGGAGGGGAGAAGGAGGAGAAGGGGAGGAGGAGGGGGAGGGGGAGGAGGGGAGGAGGAGGAGGAGGAGGAGGAGGAGGTGGAGGAGGAGGAGGGGGAAGAGGAGAAGGAGGAGGAGGAGGAGGAGAAGGTCGAGGGGGGAAGAGAGGAGAATGAGGAGGAGGAGGAGGAGGAGGAGGAGGGGAAGAAGGAGGAGGAGGAGGAGGAGGAGGGGAGGAGGAGGAGGAGGAGGAGGAGGAGGAGGAGGAGAGGCCAGGGGATTGTGGAGTACCTCAATGTTCCAGAGGAAGAGAATAGTTTTCGTATTCTTCGCCCTCCTCTTCATCATTAACCTTCTTTTCATTTCTGTCTCGCTGTATCTCTCTCTATTTATGTTTTCTATCTCTCTCTTTCTCCCTCTATCCCCCTTGTTTATTTGTTCTGCCTCTCTCTCTCCCATGACCCTCTCTAGGCTTTGCAATCAGTTTGCCAGCATCTTCACTAGCCAGCTCAGTCTGCCATTCGTTGGCCATCTTTGCCTGCTCAGTCCTGATAAGTCCTGGCACGCCCTGGTAAGGTGTTCCACGCCTTGCTAAGATTTGGTAACCCCTGGTGAAGCTCTGCCAAGCTCTACTGGGCCCTGGTAAGCCTTGTTCAGCCATGCTAGGCCCGATTGACCCGGGTCTGGATTGACCCGGGTCAGAAGATCCCCGACCGAATCGCGGTATAAAAGTTCGAGGTCGCTCCGGGGAGAGTGCCCCAGTGTCCGCCGTGTTTGTTGTGTGTTGTGTGAGTATTCTTCCTCCCTCCGTCACTCCTAATTTTTTGCGCATGTGTCTCGCATTGCATGATGCCCAGACACGCCAGATTCCCGAGGACACGGCCTCGCCGACCCGGTCTTGAGCAGACCCGGACGCTGTCCGCAACGGTGGTCGCATCGCATCGCATCGTGCATCCCGGGGAGGGTACCCTCAGAGGTTCTGTCTGTTCTGGCCAGCGAAGGCTCCCTTGTTCTGTGGAGGGATGCTCTTCTGTCCTATAGATCCGACTGCATCACGCCGAACCGTTCCCACCCGACCTGTCCTGGAGGAGGAGGAGGAGGAGGAGGAGGAGGAGGAGGAGAAGGAGGAGGAGGAGTCCCGCTCTCCCGGCTTGGGAGCAGGGAGCAGAGCCCTCCCTGGCCCTCTCCCGCGGGGTGAGGGAGCGGCCGCGCCTGGACAGAGCTCGGCGGCGAGGTCTCGTCGACTCGATGTCGGGCTGGACGGTCGCGAAGTACGAGTGGTGCTGCCACAGCCAGGGCATCGGCTGCCTGGACGAAGCGGACGGCTCTGCCTTCCTGACCTCCTTTTTTGGCGGAGAGGAGGGCGAGCACGGGGGTGCGGAAGGGGGGAGAGGGGGTGGGAGGGAGGGGACGAGGTTGCGAATGCTCAACGTCTTATCAGAAGAGGGTCCCAGGTGCCTTCTCGGGCACTGCGCTGACCAAGTTTTCGAGCCTTGTGCAGCCGTGGCAACGAGGGAGCCCCAAGGAGGCCATGACGATGAGGATGTTGATGATGATGATGATGATGATGATGATGATGATGATGATGATGATGATGATGATGATGATGATGATGATAGTGCTGATGATGATGCTGACGATGAAGCCATGATGGGTATGATAATGACAATGCCGATGACGATGATAATGATGATGCTGATGCTGATGGTGATCATGATGGATGAATTCATGAATGAATCCAACGATGATGCTGATGCTGCTGATGATGATGATGCTGCTGAATATGATGATGATGATGATGATGATGATGATGATGATGATGATGATGATGATGATGATGCTGATGCTGATGCTGATGCTGATGCTGATGCTGATGCTGATGCTGATGCTGATGCTGCTGTTGTTGCTGCTGCTGCTGATGATGATGATCCTGGTGATGATGATGCTTAAGTGATGTTGATGAGGATGACGACGAGGTGATGGCGATGATGGTGATGCTGATGATGATGATTTCGTCGTCGTTGTTGTTGTTGTTGGTGTTGTTGTTATTGCTGTTGTTGACCTCTCAGTATGAAAACATAAATGTTGTTGATCCCCCCCTCCGGTGACCAGTGTGTTTCGTGGCTCGCACCTTGATTTCTTGTCAGGGAAAGTCACTGGGCCCAGATTACAGCAACAACGGCTCCCGCCTGAGACTTCATTACAATTTAGCCGGGACCCCCGCTACCGCCTGAAATGTCCTCGCATTTTACTCAAGAATCGCGCTCTCGCTTGGGACTTCCTTAATTCCGGAATCGCCCTCTCGGCGCTCTGGAGTCGCGCTCTCGCTGGAGATTTGCTTGCAATTTATTGAAGAATCGCGCTCTTGCGGTGGAACTCCCCGAAATTTAAGCGCCGCGCTCCCGGCACTCAGGCACCCAGGAGTCGCGCTCACGCTTAAGAATCAGAATCTCGCTGCCCTCCGTGGCCCCGTTGCAGCCCTTCGTGGCCCCCTCGCTGCCCTCCGTGGCCCCGTTGCAGCCCTTCGTGGCCCCCTCGCTGTCCTTTGTGGCCCCGTTGCAGCCCTTCGTGGCCCCCTCGCTGCCCTTTGTGGACCCGTTGCAGCCCTTCGTGGCCCCCTCGCTGTCCTCCGTGGCCCCGTTGCAGCCCTTCGTGGCCCCCTCGCTGCCCTTTGTGGACTCGTTGCAGCCCTTCGTGGCCCACTCGGTGTCCGTCGTGGCCCAGTTGCAGCCATTCGTGGCACCCTCGCTGCCCTTCGTGGCGCAGTAGATCTACCTATAAGACGACAATTCGGGTGATAATGAGATTGTTGGGGGGGACAGGGGGGGAACCAACATCTGACTCAATCTATCACAATCGATCTCATTTAATGGGACACCATGGGACACCACGGGACACTTGACGATCTCATTATCGATCTCATTATCGATCTCACTCAACGGGACACCACGGGACACCGCGGGACCCCTCTCGATCTCATTATCGGTCTCACTATCGATCTCACTCAACGGGACACCATAAGACACCACGGGACACTACGGGACACCTCGGGACACCACATCGATATCGGTATCGATCTCATTATCGATCTCACTCAACGGGGCATCACAGGACACCACGGGACACCACGGGACATTTGTCGATCCCACCATCGATCTCATTGTCGATCTCACTTTTTGGGACACCACGGGACACCTCGGGGCACCACATCGATCTCAGTATCGATCTCTTTGTCGACCTCACTATCGATCTCACTCAACGGGACACCACGGGACACCAGTCGAGCTCACTATCGATCTCAATTTTTTTGGACACCACTGGACACTTCGGGGCACCACATGGATCTCAGTATCGATCTCACTATCGATCTCACTCCACGGGACACCACGGGACACCACGGGACAAAACGGGACACCGCGGGACACCGCGGGACACCGCGAGCCACCGCCGGACGGACGGACGGACGGGCGGGCGTGGGAGAATCATTTGTCTTGACTTCGCCCTGGCAACGGCGGACACCACGGTACACCACGGGACACCACGGGACACCGCGGGACACCGCGGGCCACCGCCGGGCGGGCGGTAGGGGGGGGGATAATCAGATAATCATTTGTTTTGACTTCGCCCTAGCAGCGGCGGGTTCATTCCACTCGCGCGCCCACGCAGCTTCGCCTGGCCCGCACGCACGACACGAACGAAACGAAACGATTTCCCGGTTGGAGTCTCCTCCGTTCCATTGCGATCTCACCCCCAACCTCCGATGCCCTTCGTGACCCCCGCTCGTTCGCGCCCGTCGTGGCCCCATATGCATGCACTTCGTGGCCCCGCTGTCGCCCTTCGTGGCCCCGTTGCAGGCCTTCGTGGCCCCGTTGTTGCCCTCAGTGGCCCCGTCGTTGCCCTCTGCGGCCCACCATACGTATGCCCTTCGTGGCCCCCTCTCTTACGCGCCCGTCGTGGCCCCATACGCATGCCCTTCGAGGCCCCGCTGTCGCCCTTTGTGGCCCCCTCGCTGTCCTACGTGGCCCCGTTGCTACCTTCAGTGGCCCCGTCGGTGCCCTGTGGCCCCGCATTATCTGCCCTTCGTGGTTTCCGGTCGTTCGTGCCCGTCGTGGCCCTTACGCATGCCCTTCCTGGCCCCGCTGTCGCCCTTCGTGATCCCCTTCCTGCTCTCGCTCTCGCTCTCGCTCTCGCTTTCGCTCGTCGTCGTCGTCGTCGTCATCGTCGTCGCCGCCGTCGTCGTCGTCGTCGTCGTGGTCGGTCCCCTGTCCGTCCCCCTTGGGGTCGGGTTGCCGCCGATCAGCGCTGCAGCTGGCCAGGCCGACGGTCCGCGGCCGCCCCGCCGCTTGCCAGGGCTTGGCCTGCAGGGAAGGACGATATACCCCCAGAAAGGGCACGATCGACGACGAAGAGGGCCGGTATGGAGGGTTTGGGAAATACACGTTGAATGACACTCGAACAGATAAGAGCGAATAGTTTTTTCAAACGATTGTTGTTGACGGTGATGGTGCTGCTGCTGCTGCTGATTAGTATGACGGTGATGGTTGTGGTAATGATGGTGGTGATGGTGGTGGTTGTGATGATGGTGATGGTGATGGTGATGTAATTCGTGGTGGTGTTTATGATGGTGGTGGTGACGATGACGATGTTGTTGAAGTTTCATGTCTAAAGAAGTGATTGGTCCGCCCTGCCCGGTGCACCTTGTATTTTTTAATGAGGGTGTCTCCCCGGGTGTCTCACCCTGTTTCTTGCAAAGGGAAGTATTGGTGCTCAAATTGGGTCCCTGGCTCACAGAAACAATTGCTCCCGCCGGATATTTCTTTGAAATTTATTTGAAAATCGCGCTCTCGCGCGGGACTTCCTCAGAATGCATCCAGGAATCGCGCTCTCGTGAGGTACTTCCTCATAATTTGTTGCAGCGCCGTGCCCCCAAGACTCAGGAATCGCGCTCTCGCTGTTGATTTCCTTTCGATGTACTTGGGAATCGCGCTATCACTCGATCTTCCTTGCGGGTCATATTGGATTGATGCTTCAACGACCCGCCCGCTCGACCCGGCCGTCTGGGCTCGCCCGCCAGACCTGCCCGTTAGAGTCCGCCCGCTCGACCCGTCCGTTTTGTTCGGCTGTTTGTATTCCTGCTCGTAACCTTCCTCCTGCAAATCTCAATCGTGCTCCATCCTTCTCCCTCCCCCTTGCCTCTTCCCTCCTCCCTTCCTTTCCCTGTTGTAGGAGCTGCGCCAACTACACGTGGCAGGCAGGGAAGATATACCCCCAATGGTGGTACGATCGACGAAGAGAGCGGGTATCGGGGGTTTGGGATATGAGTGTTGATGCCACGCGAGCATATAAGAGCGAATAGTCTCAAAATGATTCTTGTTGTTGGTTGCAAATGACATGACGAGGTTCATGTTGATGTTGGTCGTGCTGCGGTGCTTGACGTCGACGATGATGATGCTGATGGTGATGATGATGATGACGATGATGGTGGTGGTGGTGATGATGGAGATGATAGTGGTGGTGGTGATGATGAGGATTATGATGCGGATGATCATTAGGATGATAGTGATGGTGAAGGTGAAGGTGATGGTGTTGGTGATAATGATAATGAGGAGAAGGAAGATGATATTGTTGATGACGATGATGACGAGGAGGAGGAGGAGGAGGAGGAGCCTACGAATGATGTCGAGGAGGCGACGAACGCGGCGGAGGATGAGGAAGAGGGACATGCTGCGGACCAGCACCAGCAGCGACAGCTCCCGCAGCGGCTTCAGCAGCAGCCGCGCCTCCATCGTTTAATTTTAATCCCAAGTGCCCTTTGGCGTTGCGCTCTTGCCTCGTTCATCGTCCACGCTGGCCTTCGGTGGGGATCCGATTCCTCCTTCTCCTTCTTCCCTTACTTTCTGGCTTCCACATCTTTAGCTGTAGGATCGACAACGGCTTGTGTACCTCCTGTCAGGGGAGCGCGTCGTCATCGTCCTGGTACCTGCTGACAGAAAGGGGAGGGGTGTGGGAAGATTTTGGAAGAAGGGTGGGTGGTGATCAGGTTGAAGGGGTGAGGGCAGGGGGGCAGAGAAACATTGACGGAATCGGCGAGTCTGAAAATTCAGACCGAGAGTTTGTTTGAGTTGTGTTTGTCGTCGTCTCAAGTGGGTTGTGCAAGTTGTGTGCACACTGCGATCGAGCACTTTGTTAGCGTACAGTTCTGTGCTTCTGCTCTCCGACGCTGTTGGATGTTAATAACTATCCAGCAGTGCCGACACGTGAACCGAGGACGGACCACAATTTGGATAACCGGCGAGTGCATTTTCGCGCCCGCGCTCGGGCCCAGAACCTGGCCATCGCGGCTGAGGAGAGGGACTGAATTTGCGCCTCGGACTGTTTGTTGGCTTGCGGTTTGCGTCAATGATGCTCACGCGGTCGTACGTCCTTCTTGTCTTCCTCGTCCTCCCTGTTCCCAGGACATTCGCAGGGCTAGTTTCCATGGGTATTGGTAAATGTGTTCGCATGTGCTGCGTATGATGGTGACGATGAGGACAGGGTGACGAGGATGAGTAGGAGTGGGTCTGAATAGTTCCAGGGAGCTGCAGGGAGTTCCTAGATCCTCCTCCTCCTCCTTATCCTTTCTCTCCCTTCCTCCTCTCCCTCTGTTTATCATCCTACGTCGTCCTCTCTCACGTCCGAGGACTTGGTGTCCTCGTTGTCCTTGGTCGAGTCCGCGCGAAAGCTGGGCGCTGTTCGCCCTTGGAATGTGGCCCTGGCCGTCGGACATGCCGCCATGGGGCAGGAGGAGCAGGAGGATGGAGAGATTGCGCAGGGCCAGAGGAGATCCAGATTTCGCCGATTTCGCTTTTGAGTGACAGAAGCTGTTTCGTAGTGGATTCGGTGTTGGTCTCGATCGGTGATCCTTGCCCAGGGTGCCCCTGTCCGTCGGACAAGTTGTGGACAAGCCACTAGATCTATTGCTTGACAAGGCGTGATCAGTTTGCTCGGGGGTCAGCTGTGTCTGACCCGCTCAGGGAATTCTGGGGTCAAACGGTTGCCCGAACAGTGTTTGCGTGTGGTCTGCCTCATCATCCTGATCCTCATCCGCCTTCTCATCCTTCCATGCTTCTCTGCGGAATCCTGGAATCCTCGTGCCGTGTTGCCCACTCTGGGTGAAGGGCACGCGGTCGTCACTGAGTGCCCGCTCTTGGCGTTCCCGGTCGTATTGTAAAAGACAGCCCATGCCCTGCGCCACCGAAGATGGCCGCCGCCTTTGTCAAATCACGCCTCAGCCAAGTGTGTGAATAGACACACATATATATACATATATACAAGACTGCATTGGCGCTTCGCGCCATGCACCTTGGCCCAGAGAGCTCGGCATGCAGGCGGGATGGCAGGAAGGTCAAGCCGGCAATTCAGCGGTAACTCTTTGTTGCCTTTTCTGGCATCGTCGTTATCATAATGTTATTCGTTATCCTTCCTCAATGCTTCTGTTTCTTCATTCTCGCAATACCCTGCGCATTCTCCCCATCCTCCTCAGTTATTTTTTGCGGAGGCTCCTCCTTGGAGAGCCTCTGGGGGCCTCGCAAAATTTCTCAATCTTTCTCAAGGCCTTTTGGAGGCCTCCTGGGCGTGTTCTGGGGTCCTCTGGGGGCTTCCTCGGGCCACCCTGCGTCCAACCGCGGTCTCCCTGAATGACTGGGTCACGATTTGGAATGCTTCAGAGCTTGTCTTCGGGCCATCTTGGGCCGCCATGGGGCACTCTTAGGGCCATCTTGGACCCCTGTTGTGCCGTTTGGGGGCTGTCTTGGACTGCCTGGAAGCCCTTTCGGATAGTTGTGGAGCGATTTTGCAGCCTCCCAGGCGGCTTCGGACGCCCAGAAGACCGCCGTCTTGGAGCGTCGGGAAGCCGAAAAGATGATAACCCCAACATTCACCAAAAACCAATGGAAAATCACAGGTGTTTGCCTCTTGGGTCCTTCTTGGGAGTGCTCTTGAAGGCCTCTTGGGACGTTTCGGAGCGATCTTTGGGGGTATGACGTCTTCGTGGGCGTCGTCGTGGACCGTATTGGGGCTCTCTGGGGTCGTTTCGGGAGCGCGCCGGAACGCCTGGAACCCGTCTGGGGCCGTGTTCGGGTGCTGGGAAGGCTTGGCGAAACGCCCTGCGAGGCCCGGGGGGCCGCTTCGAGGCCCGTCCGGAGGGTCCCAGAGCCCCAGATCCCGGGGGTCTGGTTTTTGGGGGGGGACAGGTTTTCCCCCCGCCCGGGCTTATAAAAATATAGGAAGAGGATATATATATATATATATATATATATATATATATATATATATATATATATATACACACATATAACGGCGCACCGGGTCCGGGGGCCCGGGGCCGGGACCTCGACCACAAATGTGCACCCCGGGGGGCCCGGAGGCTCGTCGGGGCTTGCCGGAGGCCTCCCCGGTCAGACAAGACGGCCCCAGGAGCGCCCAAGACGGCCCAAGAAACTTCCAAGAGGCCTCCAAGAGGGCTCCGAGATGCTGAAGATGGCCTCCAGACGTCCAAGGACGCCCCCAAGAGGCCCCAAGAAGCCTCCAACATGCGTCCCAAGAGGGCCCCTAGACGCAAAAATTGGCCCATTCCCTTCGTAAAACGTACATTTTTCAACAAAGTTGCTTTTTGGGCTTTCCGACGTTACAGGACGGCCCACGAGGCGCCCAAGACCGCCCCAAGACGGCCCAAGAAGCCCCCAGGACAGCCCAAGAGGGCCCCAAGACGGCCCAAGAGGCGCCCAAGATGGCCCAAGAGGGCCCCAAGACGGGCCCAAGAGGGGGCCCAGAGGGTGACCACGAACCGCAAGCTCGAGCCTTCCGCCCCAAGAGGCCGCCAGGAGGCCCCCAGGAGGCCCCTCAAGAGGCCCCAGGAGACCCCAGACGTCCAAGGACGCCCCCAAGACGCCCCAAGAAGCCTCCAACATGCGTCCCAAGAGGGCCCCTAGACGCAAAAGTTGGCCCATTCCTTTCGTAAAACGTACATTTTCAACAAAGTCGCCTTTTGGGCTTTCCGACGTTACAGGACGGCCCAAGAGGCGCCCAAGACCGCCCCAAGACGGCCCAAGAAGCTTCCAAGAGGGCCCCAGGACAGCCCAAGAGGGCCCCAAGACGGCCCAAGAGGCGCCCAAGATGGCCCAAGAGGGCCCCAAGACGGGCCCAAGAGGGGGCCCAGAGGGGGACCACGAACCGCAAGCTCGAGCCTTCCGCCCCAAGAGGCCGCCAGGAGGCCCCCAGGAGGCCCCTCAAGAGGCCCCAGGAGACCCCAGACGTCCAAGGACGCCCCCAAGACGCCCCAAGAAGCCTCCAACATGCGTCCCAAGAGGGCCCCTAGACGCAAAAGTTGGCCCATTCCCTTTGTAAAACGTACATTTTCAACAAAGTTGTCTTTTGGGCTTTCCGACGTTACAGGACGGCCCAAGAGGCGCCCAAGACCGCCCCAAGACGGCCCAAGAAGCTTCCAAGAGGGCCCCAGGACAGCCCAATAGGGCCCCAAGACGGCCCAAGAGGCGCCTAAGATGGCCCAAGAGGGCCCCAAGACGGGCCCAAGAGGGGGCCCAGAGGGGGACCACGAACCGCAAGCTCGAGCCTTCCGCCCCAAGAGGCCGCCAGGAGGCCCCCAGGAGGCCCCTCAAGAGGCCCCAGGAGACCCCAGACGTCCAAGGACGCCCCCACGACGCTTCGCGTCACCAATTTCTTCTCACAGCGATTCCTGGGTCTGTGACTCGACAGAACCTAAGCGCGAGCGAAGCGCGCGCGTGGTTCTAGTATATATATATATATATATATATATATATATATATATATATATACACAAGACTTGAAGCTCGCTGCGCTTCGCTTGAAAGTCTTGGTATAGTGCATGGTGGGAGTGAGGCGTGGGCCGAAGGCGGCCGTTGGGCTGTGCAAGGAAGTGTGCGCAGGGCCGAGAACTGGACGAACATCGCAAGACACGCCGGCACGAGGACGACGGGGGCGCGCGTGCGCGCACGCGCGCGCGCGGGCGGGCGTGCGCGTGCGAGGGTAGAGAAGGGCGGGTGCCATCACTAACGACAGGAAGAATTAGCCCGGAAGCTGTCCTAAGTTTCTCCTTCAATGTGTGTTACACTTTTTCGTCTCTGTCGTTTCAGGGCGCCGTGATTGCCTCTGAAGGTGTCCGGAGGGATGCTCTGGGAACGCGCATGCGAGAGATGAGGAGTGAGGGTTGCGGCGAGGGTCATTTATCGGTCCTCTGGCGCGACGGTACTGGCAAGCGAGCGCGGTGCGGGCTCGCTGAGCAGGCGATCCTACTGGCGGGGGGGGAGTAGAGGGAGTGGTTGCCGGGCAAGTATCGCACCGGCACGAGCGCCGAGAAAAAGGAAGGCTAGCAGGGGCCAGCGGATGCGCGTGGAAGCGGCGTGCTGCAGACCGCACGTCAGTTCTTCGCCCTCTTGGCGGGCTTCTTCGTGACGGCACCGCCGACGGCGGCCGCCGCCTGGCGCTTCTTGACGGACGTGGGGGCGGCCGGCGCCTTGGCGGTCAGGGCAGAAGGGACGGTGTCCACCGTGGCCGTGTTCGGGTCACACGTGGTCCACGTGATGAACTGCGGGTACTTCTTCTGCAGGCTGCGCAGCGGCGCGAGGATCTTCTCGGGGATGTTCTTGGCGACGACGACGCAGAAGTTGTGCAACTCCTTGACCGTGCGGTCGGTGCCGTCGAGCATCTTGAAGGACCGAGTGAGCTGGACACGGTTCTGGTTGCAGACGCTGGAGACTGTGAAACCGTTGTGTTTCCACGTCGGCGGCACGACGAAATCGGCTTCGATGTAGCTGTGCTGGAGTAGGTCTGCGGTGGTCTGCAGCACGTGCTTCTGCGCGTTGGCTGTGGCGCGGGCGGACTGGCCGAATGCCACGTGGACGTGGGCCCAGCTCGGATTCGGGTTGCCCTTGCTGAGCGCCCTGGTGAAGCCACACTGCGCGATCGGGACGCCAGCGGGGGCCTCGTCCAAGTCGTGGACGGCGACGGCGTCCTTCCACAGCGCGGTGAGGCCGTGGGTCTTGCGCTCCTCGCGGAAGCGCAAGCTCGCGCCGTCGGCGATGGTGACGCGGACCCCGTTCGCTTTCTTCTTGTTGACGTCAAGGAGCTCGATGTGGATGTGTTCCGTGTAGAGCGACACGTAGTCGCGGTTCTTCCCCGCGTCTGCCGCCTTCGCAGTGGTGGCTGCGGTCTGCTCCGGGGCGTACTCGTAAGTCGCGTTCGAGCTCTTCGGGGCCATGGCGAGCTGGGGCGCGCGGCGGGGGGGGGGCTGCCGAGTGGGCGGCCGGACGTTGGTGAGCGCAAAGCTGCTTGAGGAGCTTCGGGCCAGATGCTGCGGGGAGCTCGGGGTTGTCCGCGGGCGGCGGGGCGACTGTTATTGGCACGGAAGCTGTCCGGAGAATGTCTGTGGCAGTGCGTGCGCACGGGGAGCCACAACGATTTTGTGCATTGCCGCGCTGGGGTTGCATCATTGGGAGTGCACAATCAGGCGCAGGCAGAATCGGTGGAAAACAATCGAATGGCGGGCTGCCTGCAATCGCGCAGGTAGGAAAATAAATTTGGGCCCCGAGCCGGAGACGTGCGCCCGCCGAATCTGCCCGGAAGCTGTCTCAGAAATCGCTGTTCCGGGGCGGGTCCAAGTTGTCGTTCGGCTGCCATGGAGGAGGGGGGGATTGGCTAGTGAAATCCCCCGGAAGCTGTCCCGAGAGTTGCCTTGCCGTTGGGCGTGGAATTTCTCTGGCTGTCCTGGAGGTAGGTTACTGCCCTGGGAGTCGCCCAGACAATGCCAATCGGGACAAAACAACTGACGATTATGCACCCCTTTGCCCGCGAGATGGGGCGCCCAAAAAATCGTGCGGCACACGTGCCAAGCGCATTTGGGATGGCCGTGTAAACAGCCAGGCGCGCCTCAGTGGAGAGGGTTATTTTGTTTGGCATCGGGGGAAGAGGATTCCCCTGGAAGCCCCCGAAACCGATGTCCATGTCATCGGCACCATGTTCGTTCCGACGTTCCACGAGGGTGTTGATTGCGCCGGAAGCTGCCCTAAAAATGCTGCGTTCTCTTTCTGCTGCCCCCCCCGTTTGCTCTTGCTCCTGCCTGTTCCCTCTTCCTCCCCCCTCCTCCTCGTCGTCGTCCTCCTCCTCTTCATCGTATCATTTCCCTTGTCCGGAATCGCCTGGAAGCTCCCGAGAAGCGATTCCCATATCAGCGGGACCATGTTGCCATGTCTGGTCCGATGGTCCACGAAGGTGTGGATTGCGCCGGAAGCTGTCCTACAAATGCTGCTTCTCCTTTGCTCTTGCTCCTGCCTGCCCTCCCCCTCCTCGTCGTCCTCCTCCTCCTCCTCGCCCTCTTTGCCGTCTTCCTTTCTCTCGTGCACGGCAGGCGCGTGCTTTTTTGTTTGCGAGGTCATTCTGTCTGTTGGGTCTGCAAAAAACTGCGCACGGGGCTGCGCTCGGACGACCTCGGCGACCTTGCGCCGGGCCGAGCGCGCCCAGAGAGCCCGACGCTCTGCGAAATACAGTGCGCGCAATGACAGCACGAAGCCATCGCGGATATCGTCTGGCCAGTGCGAGGAACGGGCGCGCTTTCGCGACCGAGATAAATTGGACCCGATCTCGCAAACCATGCTCTCTTCGGCAAAGCCGCAGCTACGCAGGTGAGCCATGCCGAGCAATTCGGCCGCCCGCTTGCCTGTCGGCCCCCACTGGGGTGCCATTTCTGCGAACGCGGCGTCGCACATTCATGCATCGCGCCGGTCCAATGTGTTTTGCATGCGGGAGGATGGCGTCTTCTTCTTCTTGCCCTTGAGCCCGCTGGGGAACCCGCGCAATCCTAGCAAAACGCGCGTCCCAGGGCCAGGATATATCTGCCTCCTTTCGCAGAGCCGCGCGATGATAGACGTGCCTGAAAGCTTGCACGACAAAGCATTCCGGTGGAGCGCATTGAGAATCTGCATGGCCACAAACGGACCCACCTGGCATGGCAGCGTGGATCCGCGGCCCGCTCGCGCAGGCCCCCGCGATGGCGGCTTGGAAAACATGTCTAATGAAAAAGGGAGCCGTGCTTGGCATTGCGTAGCTTTCTTAAGGGCATCGGGGAAGGGGTCACGGGGCCTCGTGGGATGCTCGCCATAGCGAGCGGGCGGACCACGGAAACATCAGCGTGGGGGGTCCTGGGTGCGGGGCGCGTCGACGGCAGCCTTCCGTATGCGATTTCAAATGGGGTCTTACTAAGCAGCAATTGTCGCAGTCGTTCCAACCGAGGCAGAACCAGGGCGAATTTGCGAGGGATGTGAACGCCGTCGAGGACCGGCCGTTGGATATGCTTCCAACCATTCCTGCGTCGAATTTGCAGCTTGATGTACCGGACACGAGGATGTGCCAGCGGAGTCTCATTCGCAAAAGATCCTATATTGTACCCGGTTCTTGCTTGTTTGCGGCTGTGGAGAATCCAACAAATAGCCGCGGCTTGGAGCATCATGTATATATCCATGTTCTCAGATGTGAGCACGGCGGCGATTAACGCATCTCGAAGGCTCTGGGCCGACAGGTAAGACGAAAGGTGCTGTTGGAACCTCTCCACCAAACGTGGAAGTTTCACCTGGCGCGGTTGCGTCTGCACATAAGCGTATGCTATCAAGAACATGGCGAAAAAAGACCCGTGGTTGAACCATACCTTACAAACGAATATGTTGAGCAGAACTTGCGCGTGAGACGACGCCGCGCCAGTGACGATGTCCAGGAACATGTTGGTATAGTCGAAGCCTGATGCATAATTGTTGAACCCGTAATTCTTGATGTCCAGAAGGCCTTTGGTGCTTCGGCGCACGAACTCAGATGGCGACTCGAAAGTGCGGCCTCGGCCTCGCACCCGAGGGCGTGGACCCGACTGTGGCCCGCATGGGACGGTAAGAGCATTCATGGGCCGGCTGCAGGTTTGTAGCACGCAGCAGAAAGGGAATTCGTGAAACCCGTGGATGTCGCACCAAAGTTGCACCAGCTTTACCCATCGCACATTGTCTAAACAACTGAACAGAGGTTGTGAGACGGGGACTTCGCCACAGAAGCGCTGATAAAACTTAGCGTCCGACGGGGTTGCTGAAAAGGTTCGGGCAACAGTGCATACGGAAGAAGCCACAGGCACCCCGTCTCCAAACACGGACGCGTCTGACTCCGAGTCGGAGTCCGAAGAGGAACGCGCCGCCCAGCACGATGTGAAACAAAGAATGCAGAATGCCAGAAGTTAGAGGCGCCGCGAGGCGCGCATTGAGCACGAGCGGGGGCGAACTGACTAGCAATCCGCGCCGGGGCCTGAGCAAAAATGGCTACGGAGAATCATGAGGGGGGAATGGGCACAGGCGTCTGGTGGACACACCGCGACGCAGTTCATTGTTACATGTTCGTCCTCTGGTGGCTGATGTTGGGCTCGGGGGCTGTCAAATACCGACTCCAGATGGGCCGACGGTCGTAAGGCAGGGGAGGGCAAGTAATTAGCCCGGAAGCTGTCCAGAGAATGGGGCTTCGAACAAAGGGGTTGCACTCGTCGGCGCTGGCAGGGACCGACGCACGCGTCAGTGATTGGGGCTTCGAACAAACAGGTTGCACTCGTCGGCGCAGGCAGAGATCCACGCGTGTGTGAAAACAGAATCTTTGAACGTGTATGTTTCGTTGTTGCGCGTTGTTCGTATTAAGGCGGCCGTAGGGACGCGGGGGCAGGCGTTGTAGTATCTGAGGGGGGGCCCTGCGGTAGCGTCGGCGGGGGCCCCGTCAGTGACCTCGCCCAGCTTCCAATTTTCGTCGCTGTTGCCGTTCTGCAGCCAGGTGGCTCGCAGCAGGACCATGAGATTTTTCTGGGCGGCGCGGACGCCGAGACCTCGGTCCAGGAAGTCCTTCATAATCGGTCGTTCGTATTTGCGGTAGAGAGACACGGGGGCGGCATCTTGTTCGAGTAGAACCAGGAACGCGAAGCGAAGTTGGGCTGCAGTGTACCGGAGCGCAATGAGCTCGTCGAGCACGGCGTGGGCTTCGTCGTCGCGGACGAATTGGCCCGTGGCCCGTAGCGTCTCCTCGTAAGTAGGATACACCTTGCCGTTGTGCGTCCTGCAATCGGCAAAAGACGCCTTGGGAAAGTTCAGCAGGATGTGTCGGAGGTAGAAGACGTCGCCTTGCTTCGGGAACTTCATCTCGAGGCGGCACAACGGGGGCTCGCTACGCAGCCTCGGGTACACGAAGAACTGTTTTGGCGGAGGGGCGCGGTCCAGCACGGCAGCGGCCTGCGATGGGCACGACGGGGGCGTCATGTAGGTTTCAAAATACTCGTGGTAGGCCAATGCGTCGAATGGTGGACCCGCGGGTCGGTAGAAGTACCGTTGAAGTGGTGACACGTGGGCTTCAAGCGCATTGGCCTCCTCTCCTTCCGCGAAAACAATCCATTGTTGTCCGGGCAGGTGCACGGGCAAGCAGACGACGTGCGGCCATCTGTCGTAGGTGTTGTATCCGAACATGCGCCATGCTGCCTCCGTTGCGCACAGATATCTGCCTTTGAGCCACTCGGAAATCTCGTCGGCAACCTTCGCATCTAGCGTGACGTCGTAGTTCGTCTTGGAAGGGCCTTTGAACAATTCGAAGAGTTCCACCGTCGCTGCGTACTTGACGTTGGCGTGCCCCTCCCAGAGCTGAAGCACCACGGGGCTGTATTCGACGATGAGCCGATTGAGGCAGACGTCGTGTTTCCCGCACATGGCCCGGCCAGATCGGCAATTCTGGCAGTGGCCGCCGCATGGTCGCCGCCGGTGGTGGGGGTAGCCGCGCGCGTCGAAGACCGTGTCGTCCGAAAACGGCCAGGGGCATCCTTTCACGCAGTCTTGAGCGGGGTCTTGAGGGTGGCAAGAATGGTTGCAGCTGTGGACCATGTGGCGAAGGACGAGTTCGCGGAGTCGTCCGTCTTCGCGGGGTAGCTCACAGGCGATGAGAAGGTCGACCTCGTCCGGAGTGGCGGGCGGGTTGAGGACAGCCAGAGCGATGTGCGCATGTGGAAGGCCGCGGAGCTGGCACTCGATCACTCTGATGAGGTAACGGCGAGCCCCGCAGAAAGAATCCTTCAAGAAAGCGACGATCTTCTGCAGCCGGTCGTGAAAGACGCGGACGACGATGTCGGGTCTGTCGGCGGCGGTTTGTCCGCGGTGCAGTTGACCCACAATCTCTGGCCAGTAGGGGTTGCAAGTCAACGTGATGAAGAACGACGGCGGGCCTTTGCGTCGCGCCAGCTCCAGGGCGTCAACGCGCAGTCGGCGAAGATGGCGAGGTGATCCTGGGACGCTCGATGGCAGAACGTACTGTTTGCCAACCGTTCCGGCCTTGGCGGGGTCGTTGGCGAGCACCTCGCAGAGCTCCTGGCGAGCGGCGCTACGCTGTCGTTGTTGATGACGGATGTGGGAGAACCTCTCGTCTTCCATGCGCGTGAACATGTTGATGAGCCACTCGTTGAGCAGCCGTCCGCAAAGGTGCATGCGGGGGAGTCGGAGCAATTGTTGGCGATACCACCACATCTGTGTTACCTTGTGGCCGGTGGCGCTGATGACGTCTGTACTCCAGCCGCGGCCGCCGAACGGATACCACAGGGGGTAGCTCAAGGGTTCGTAAAACGGGCTCAGCGGGTGCAAGTAGGACGGCGTGTCGTGGCGCTTGTATGTGAAGACGATGGACCTTTTGTTGCGGTCAGGGGTGGGGTCGACGTCCAGTATTCCAGCCACTTCGTTGACTCCCTCGTGCCACTCCATGATGATATTCGCGTCTGCTGCTTGTTTGGACTGGCGGGCAAAACGCTGAATCATACGCATGTGGGCATTTCTCGGCACTATGAGCTGTTCGAGTTGTTTGGTGGTCTGCTTGTTGAGGCCGCGCGCCGCGGCGGTGACGATGCGGTCTTGCGGATCGTGCACCAGGTATCGCAGAGGGACCTGGTCTGCCATAGAGAATACGCGTCGGTAAATCGCCCCATGGATACGGATGTTTGCTGGCCGGCGGGCGTCTCCGAATCGAAGCTCTGTGTCTCCAGTGCTGCACTGGATTTCGTGTTGTGCGAGGGCGAAGAGGCTGTTGTACCGCCTGGACTGCGCCGTGAAGCCAGTGCACCGAAGCTCGTTGGTGGTGGTGTCGTACATCTTGTCTCCGCGGTCGTCTGTGAGCGGCCAATGGGAGGCGAAGATGTCGCAGAGGCGTTTGTCGGGGCATTGGAAATAGGTGTCAAAGTTGACGAAGTACTTCCCGGCATTACAACAGAACGTTTTGGACTCCGAGTTGAACAAAAGTGCGCCGCAGTGGTCGCATTGGGTGGACATGTCCCCCAAAGAAATGGAGGCGAGGGTCGACGGTGGGCGGCCGCCGTCGGGGGCGGGCGCGGCACAGTTGAAGCAAACTGGGCCAACCCGCTTCGGGGCCCGCTGTGGAAACATGTCGGTGGGCCAGCAGACGCCGCACCTGGAGCAGACGATGTCGGTATGCTGTCTAAGTGCCCCGCTACGCTGAAGCGCGGCTCTTGTGCAGGTCAAACATTTGCGGGTACTTCGTCGCCACTGGTCCGGCGCGTACTCAGCCTGCGCGAGCTCTGTCCCGCAGCTGGCGCAGGGTCGTAGAAGTACAGGGGCATTAGCGGTGGAGCAGCACTCCTTGCATCGGGCTGTCCGAGATGAAGAGTGCAACTGCGTGGCGGAAAAGGCAGACGTGTCCAAGCATCGATGGCATTGCGTTCAAGTCAAGGTTGAGCGCTTCGGTGGCATTTGACGCCCGGCGCGCGATAAGGCTTGAGCCTGCAGCAGCGGCCGGCATGGCAGGAGGGACCATGGAGAGTGCGGGGGGGCGGCGTTGGGAGGTGGGAGGGAATGGGCAGGGGTGGTAAGAAGGGAAAGAAGAGAGCCGGTAGGCTCTGAAGACGGTCTTGGAAGGATACGGACCACCATTTGAGTATGAAGGCTAGATGAACATGTTGGGGCGCTTGTGGTATTTTGGAGGTGGAAGTCCGTCTGGGATTCGCGGTGCGAGGTAGCGTTCGGGAGAGGCGGTTAGGAAGAGCAGGAAGGGGAGCTGGTAGGCTTTTGTGGGAGATCGGGGGTGGTTCGGAGTGGCACTGGGGCCTCTTGCAATATGTAGGGGGGCTTTGGGGGCCTTTACGGGGCTTCGGGGCGTTCCAGGGGACCTCTTGGGGCCTCTTGGGAGCCTTTTGGGGGCCTCTTGGGGGCTTTGGGGGGTGTTTTCAGAGCCGTCTGGAATCTTTGCAGGTGTTCTTGGGGGCCTTTGGGGGCCTCTTGGGGCCTGTTGGGGACCTTTTGGGCCTCTTTGGGGGCTGCTTGGATGCCGTATTGAGGCCGCGGAGGCTGATAGGAGGCGATCAAGTTAGAAGGCGGAATTTATCAATTTCCTAGAGGTTTTTGATCGATATCAGCCTCTCGGGGGGGCTGTTCGGGGGGCGCTTGAAGCCCTTGTGGGCTCGTTGGCTGCCTATGGGGCCGTCTTGAGATTATCTTGAGCCGTCTTGGAGCGTTTTTGGGCCGTCTCGGCAATTGCTCGAAGCCATCAAGGGGGTCTGGGGGGCCGAAGTCGAGGTCCGGGAGGCCCCCGTGGCGGTCCAGGAGGCTCCAGTGGGCCGCCAAATCCTATTGGGGGGGGGGGGACCCTTCGGTGTCAGTTTCCTGGTGTGAGATTATTAAGATAGGAATATATATATAAATATATATATATATATATATGTACGAGAGCGTGATCCACCGCCGCTTTACTGTGGAAAATTCCCCCCTCGCCCTCTGGAACCCAGGGGTGCCCCCCCTCCCTTCGACCCCCCCCCATGCTGGATCCCCCCCCCTCCCCAGGCAAACCCCCCCCCCCCCTAACCCCTCCCCCCCCCCCCTTTCCGGAAAACCGAGGGGGTCACTACCGGTTCGAACATCCCCCCCTCCAGAAAACCGGGGGGGGGTCATTACCGGTTCGAACCCCTCCCCCCCGCCTCCCCTCTAGCCTCTAGAAAACCGGGAGGTGTCACTACTAGTTTGAAGCCCTCCCCCCCCTTCCAGAAAACCGAGGGGGGGGTCACTACCGGTTCGAACCCCCCCCTCCAGAAAACCGGGGGGTCACTGCCTGTTCGAAACCCTCCGCCCTCTTACCGCCGGCAAACGAATCCTGGGTCCCACCACCGTCCGCACCACATCCCCCACTGCTGTCCCCAGCACGGTCCCCACCACCACTATCCTCACTGTTCCCAGCGTTCCCACTGTCCCCACCAGTGCCCCCACCACTTTCGCACTGTCCCCACTGTCCCCACCACGGTTCCCACCACGGTTCCCACCACGGTCCCACTCTCCCCATTTTCCCCACGGTCCCCACCACTGTCCCATGTCTCACTGTTCCCCTGTCCCACTGTCCCCGCCGCTGTCCCACTGCGCTGTCCCGCTGTTCCCACCACTGTCCCCACTGTCCCCACCACTGTCCCCACTGTACCTCTGTCCCATTGTCCTGCCACCGTCCTCTTCACCGCCCTCACCAATGTCCCCACCACCACTGCCCCCACCACTGTCCCACTGTCCCCACTGTTCCCACCACTGTCCCACTGTCCCCACCACTGTCCCCACTGTTCCCACCACTGTCCCCGCTGTCCCCGCCAGTGCCCCCACCAGTGTCTCACTGTCCCCACTCTCCCCATTGTCCCCACTGTCCCCACCACTGTCCCACTGTCCCCACTGTTCCACCACTGGCCCACTGTCCCCGCTGTCCCCGCCGCTGTCCCACTGTGCTGTCCCACTGTCCCCACTGTCCCCACCACTGTCCAACTGTTCCCACCACTGTTCCCACCACTCTCCCCACTGTACTGCTGTCCCACCACCGTCCTCACCACCGCCTTCACCACTGTCCACCCACTACCGTCCCCACCACTGTCCCACTGACCCCACCACTGTCCCGCTGTCCCCTCACCACTGTCCCCACCACCACCACCGTCCCCACCACTGTCCCACTGACCCCACCACTGTCCCGCTGTCCCCCCACCACTGTCCCCACCACTACCACCGTCCCCACCACTGTCCCACTGTCCGCACCACCGTCCCACGGTCCCACCACCATCTCCACGACTGTCCCAGTATCCCACCATTGTCCAGCTGTCCCGAGGAGCAGGAATCGATTGCCGGCGGCGAGGGGGGGGGTCGAACCGGTAGTGACCCCCCCCTTTTCATGATGGACGGGGCGGGGGGGGGCGGTTCGAAGCAGTAATGACCCCCCCCCGTTTTCGGGGGGGGGGAGGGGGACGGGTTGGGAACCCCCAGTGACCCCCCCGGTTTTCCGCCAGCAGCGGTAGAACATCTATGTATGAGGTCAGACAATCGCGCTTGGCGCGCCGTGTAATCGTGATCTCATTTTCAAAAAAAGAGCTTTTGCGAACTGAGCGTGGTCAGTGCGTCCCAACTTGCGCCTTCGTTCACGAACGTACTTTTGGGCACTGGCAGTTGCGCGCGCGCCGCGCACAGGTGGGCGTTCGATTAACTACGCAGTGTTGGTAGGTAACGATTCTGGCAGGATTGCCTTCCACGCGCATTGTGCTGGACGTACATTTGAATGTAGTGTCGGATCTAGTTGAATACGTCTCCATGTATATGTGTATATAGAGAAAGAGAGCCACACACATATAGGGGGGAAAAGCAAACAAATAAAACAGAGGGGGAAAAACAAACAAATAAAGAGAGAGACCTATATATATATATATATATATATATATATACATAAGAAAGAGAGAGAGAGAGAGAGAGAGAGAGGAGGCGGGGAGGCAGAGCGGGAGGGCGAGGAGAGAGGGGGGGGAAGGGATGGGAGGAGATGTGGAGGGGGGGGACGGGAGGGGCGGTCCGAGTTTGATGTTGCTCGTGCGTTGTGGGTTTTTTCTCCACCAGATCGAGCTCACGCAACTGCTCACGCCAGCCCACGTCGGTACCTCACGCATGCGGGAGGGGAGGGGATTTGGCAGGCAGGGTGGGCGGGGAGCGCCGGGCACGGCGAGGACTCCTCGGCCTGGCGGCGGCTGCAGCCCTATCTTTCTCCAGGACGGCGGGCCTCCCTCCTCCTCCCCCCCGCCCTCCCTCCCCCCCTCGCCCTCCTTTCCTGCCCCCCTCGGCACGTGTTACAGGGGGTCGGCTGGGACTGCGCGCGGACCGTCGGTCCCCTGGGGGTCGGCGGGGACTGCGCGGCGGACCGTCGGCTCTCCTGGGGGTCGGCTGGGACTGGGCGCGGGGCCGTCGGCTCCCTTGGGGGTCGGCTGGGACTGCGCGGCGGACCGTCGGCTCCCAGGGGGTCGACGGGCTGCGCGCGGACCGTCGGCTCCCAGCTAGCATAACGTGAGCATGTGTGCACAATTTCAATGAGAGAGCCCTTCAGTACAGAATTGTTCAACAGCCGTGTGTCCGTCAGTCAGTCAGCCCTGATGACGTCCGGAAGATGTTCGGTCCCCCTCCGCGTCTTGTATTTTGCACAGTGGATTCAGGGAGTTGGGTTTTCGCTGGCTTGTTTTCAAAATGTTGCTCCCGCTGTTGCGCTGGCCTCATTTCCGCGCTTCCGCTCGTTCCGAATCCTGCTCCCGCTGCAGCGATGGCCTCATTTCCGCGCTTCCGCTCGGTCCGAATCGTGCTCGCGCTGCAGCGCTGGCCTCGTTTCCGCGCTTCGCTCGTTCCGAATCGTGCTCCCGCTGCAGAGCTGGCGTCATGAATTCCAGTGCCAGGCCACGGCATGCAGGGCAATGTTGTGTGGTGCTCCGCCGTGCGATGCCATGCATTCACCTGCAATGCTAGGATATGAAGTGCTTGCCTACTCAGCGCCACGCCATGCTATGCCATACTACGATTCGATTTTCAACGCCATGCTCTGCCGTGTTATGTTCTGCACCGCTGTGCGATGCTATTCATTGTGTTGCAACTCTTTGCGATGCAGTTCTTCACTACGCAACGCCAAGCCATGTTATGACATACTCCGCTCTGTCGTGCTCTCTCTCCTACGCCCTGCTATGCCGTGCTACACGATGCATCGCCCACCATTTCGGGATCCACTGCCCTGCTTGACATCCGATTGTGCGAATAGAGAGGAAATCTACGCCATGGTACGGGATGGGAGGGAGGGGTCGGACGTCAGATATGACGCGAGCGCGCTTAGCTTGTCTCTTCCGCCCTCCTTCCTTCCTCCGTCCCCTCCTCCCTCCCTTCCCTCCCTTCCCTCCCCCCCCGCACCCCTCCTCCCCTCCTCCCCTCTCTTCCCTTCTCTTCCCTTCCCCCTCCCCCTTTTCCCCCCCTCCGCCTGCTCCCTCCCCTCCCCCATTCCCCCCCCACCCTTCTCCCATGCGGTCCTTCGAGGAGTGGACATAGTGTCTCCAGCCGAGCTGCCCTCGACCGCTTCCGTCACCAATGCAGTATGTAGTCGGGTTCCGCCTTCTCATCCCCGAGTCTCCACACAGGCCGCCTCCAGACCAGGAGTTGAACATGATCGGAAGCGTGACGCTGCGATGGGAGGGTTCCGAATCCCTCTCCCTTGCCTCCGGCATCCCATCCAGCCTCCCCTTCCCGCCCCTCCACCACCTGCTCAATGAATTCGATCAGTTTGTTTTTTTGTTGAGTGTCGCAGTCATGATTTGCGCACGCGTTGCTAAATCGCGTGCCAATAATCCTGGTGATTTGTTTCACCATGCCTCCCTTTTCCCTCCTCCCATCAGCATCCTACCTCTTTCCCTTTTCCTCCCTTTCCTCTCCGCCTGCTCCGTTCTGCTTCCTCCTTCTCTTCCTCCTCCTCCTGCTCCTTTTCACCCTTTACTGCTCATACGTGCTCTTGCGTTTTATCCGTTTGCTCTGCCTCGTCCATGCTTCCTCCTCTTTCTCATCCCTCCCTCCTCCTACCCTCTCCCATGCCCCATTCTCCCCCACTCCGCCCTTCGCCTCCTCCCTCGATGCTTCTCCTCTCTCTTTTTCTGCCTGCTCATCTCCCTGTTCCATTCTTCCTCCCTGTCCCTCTTTCTTCATTGATCGTTTTCCTTGTTTTCTCCTCCCGATTCTTGTGTCCTCGTCCCTCCTCATCTGCTGTTCCTCCTCCTCTGTGCCTCCGCCTCCCTTCCCCTTGCCTTCTCTCCTCCTCCTCGTCACCCACCTCCTCCTCCTCCTCCTTTTCCTCCTCCTCCTCCTCCTCGCCTCCTCCTCCTCCTCATCCTCCTCCCCCATCTCCTCCTCTCCTCCCCCCTCCTCCTCCTCCTCTCCTCCCCATCTCTCCTCCTCCTCCTTCTCCTCCTCCTCCTCCTCCTCCTTTTCCTCCTCCTCCTCCTCCTCCTCCTCCTCGCCTCCTCCTCCTCCTCATCCTCCTCCCCCCATCTCCTCCTCCTCCTCCTCCTCCTCCTCCTCCCCCTCCTCCTCCTCCTTCCCCATCTCCTCCATCTCCTCCTCCTCCTCCTCCTCCTCCTCCTCCTCCTCCTCCTCCTCCCTCCTCTCCTCCTCTCCTCCTCTCCTCCCTCATCACTCCTTTTTCCCTAACTCCTCTCACTCCTCCATTGTTCATCCATCCTGCCACTCCCGCTCCCCCTCCCACCCACCCCTCCCCCTCCAGACTTTTACCACACTGCCACTCCTTGCTCCCTCCTTTCGGCCATTCCCTCGCCCCTCCCTCTCCCTCGTGCTCCATTTCCCCGTTGTCGCTGCCACTACTGCCTCCGGTCGCTGCCATTGGCGTTGCCGTCGCGGTAGCAGCCGCCACTGCCGCTGCTGACGGATGCTACTTCTTCCGCGCCCGGCCCCTCTCTTTTGCCCCCAGCGGTGGAAGATATTCATTGTTGCTTCATCCATCCTCCCTCCTTCCCTACGTTTCCTCCGCTCCCATGCCAGGTCGGACGATCACGTTCTGGCCCACCTGCGTTGCACCCGCGTCTCGCCCTCACTACTTTTTCTTGCATCATATTCATTCTGCCTCCTCCCTGCACAGGCGCGTACCATATCAGGTCCTCGACAGGCGCACTCGCAGGACTTTCTCAGGAGCATCTCGTGAGCCTCGCAGGACCTCTGCATGAGCCTGTCTGGAGCCTCGCAGGAACCTCTCAGAAGCCTCGCGGGTGACACTTCCCCCCTTCCAGATGTGGGTGCACGGTGCGGTTCCCCTGTCCGTGCCACGCTCCCAGGGCGTGGCAGGCGTGGCATTCCCCGAATTCCAGATGGGGGCGCACACGGAGAGGTTTCCCAATCCGCGCCACGCTCCAGGGGCGTGGCGGGCGTGGCAGCTCCTCGACACCAGAAAAGGGGGTGCGCAGGGGGTGGTTCCCCTATCCGCGCCACGCTCCCGGGCCTCCGAGGGGGCGCGCAGGCGGTGGTTCCCCTCTCCGTGCCACGCTCCCAGGGCGTGGCAGGCCTGGCAGCTCCTCGACACCGTTGGGGGTGCGCAGGGGGTGGGGTGGTTCCCCTGCCCGTGCCGTGCTCCCAAGGCGTGGCAGGCGTGGCGGTTCTTCGACACAAGAGGAGGTGCGCAGGCGGTGGTTCCCTTCCCCGTGTCACGTTCCCAGGGCGTGGCAGGCGTGGCAGGAGGGGTGCTCAGGAGGTGGTTTCCCCACCTTGCCACGCCCCCAGGGCGTGACAGGCGTTGGCATTTCCTTGACACCAGACGGAGGTGCGCAGGGGGTGAATTCCCTCTCCGCGCCGCGCCCGCAGAGTGTGGCAGGCGGGGCATTTCCTCGACACCAGAGGGTGCGCAGGGGGTGGTTCCCCAATCCGTCCCGCACTCGCACTCGCACTCCGTGGCAGGAGCCTCCCAGGAGCCTCGCAGAAGCAGGAGCACTTCCTCGCGTGCTCCGGAGGCGTGTTCCCGAGATGCCAGTAGACAAGACGAGATGGGTCGAACAAGTCTGCGGGGTCCTTAGGTCGCGTAACGCCCCTCCTTCCCCCTCCCTCATGGGAGTCGGTAGTCAAGAAATGACACCAGCTGTAAAGAGTGCTGTATTTCGGCACTAATTATCTCCTGTCTCACCCTGCTCGCGCGCCGTCCGGCGCAAGGCTGATGTTCGTTCGTTCGTTCGTTTTCGCCCCTCCCTCGCGTGGAGGACGTCCAGACGGTACCGGGCCGTGGACCCCTGGCTGACGGAGCACCTCGGCGCACCGGACGGGGAGTCCACGGAGCTCTCCGGCTGTGGGGGCCACAGTCGGCCAGCCGCGTGCGCTCGTAAGGGGGACTCTTGTCAGGAGGGGGAAAAACACACATTCACATTCACATTCACATTCACATTCACATTCACATTCGCATTCGCATTCGCATTCGCATTCACACACGCGCGCGCGCACGCGAACGTGCACGCGCACGCGCGCACGCGCGCACGCGCACGCGCGCACGCGCGCACGCGCACGCGCGCGCGCACGCGCGAACGCGCACACGCGCACACGCGCACACGCGCACACGCGCACACGCGCACACGCGCTCACGTGCACACGCGCTCACGCGCACACGCGCACACGCGCGCACGCGCTCACGTGCACACGCGCACACGCGCACACGCGCACATGCGCACACGCGCTCACACACGCACACACGCCACACACGCGCACGCGCACGCGCACGCGCACGCGCACGCGCACGCGCGCACGCGCACGCGCGCACGCGCACGCGCGCACGCGCGCACGCGCGCACGCACACACGCGCGCACGCGCGCGCACGCGCGCACGCGCGCACGCGCACACGCGCGCAAACGCGCACGCGCGCACGCGCGCACGCGCGCACGCGCACACGCGCACACGCGCACACGCGCACACGCGCACACGCGCACACGCGCACACGCGCACACACGCACACGCACACACGCACACGCACACACACGCACACACGCACACACGCGCACACGCACACACGCACACACGCACACACGCACACGCGCACACACAAGCACACACAAGCACAAACATACACACAGACACACATACACACATACACACATACACACATACACATACACACAAGCAATTGTCGATCCCCAGGAGAATATGGGAAACTATAGGAAGTGGGGGGGACGACGAACGTCGAACAAATATAGGGAATCCTGGCATTTGTGTTTCTTTAGTTGTGCGTCCCAGGGCCCCTTCATCCTGGCTCACTCGCGCGCGCGAGCATCACTCGCGCTGGCGGGTCGCAGTCTGAGCCGGGGGTCCTTCCTTTCTCCAGGGTCGGGAAAACGTGAGACTCGAGTAAGCCAGAACTCGGGTTCGCAAACGTTTTCTGAAGAGCGCGTTCTGGAATTTGACGGTCCGGTTCTCGGGGGAGGCTTGCAGCGGGAGCTCGCGTCAAATTTCAGATTGGATCTCGTCATTTTCATTGACGGCCCCGTCAGGCCAACCCGGGTCCCCCGAACCCGAGTCGTACGTCCCCCCGATTCACCATCCACCAAAACCATCCCAACCCAATCCGAAGGCTTCAATTTGCCCTCTTATTTCCAGTGGGGGGGGGGTCGGGGAACATTGAGAAAACATATGGAACCGGTACCCCCCCCAACCCGAAATTCGGGTCAAATTCGGGTCTTCGGGTCGGGTTCGGGTGCTCTGGTAGGTAGTCACCGACAGGGGGCCGGCGCGAAAGCGAGAAGACAGCCGCGTTTCCTGGCGGCGCGAGGCGCGACGCCAGGCGACCAGAGGCCACGGGGATGTTTTTGTTGGGGCTGCAAGGGCCCCCTCCTCCTGCTCCCTCCTCCTTCCTCCCTCCAGACGGGCGGCGAAAGCGCGTGTGCACACATCGGATGGGAAAGAGAGATGGGGCTACGGCGACACGGACACGTTCCGCCAGCAGGTGTAGCAAGCTGAAGTATACGGTATACCCTACTTGTCTTAAGTCATGGGTGCTCGATCACAAGATGTGGACGCCTGGATGGGAAGCGTGTCACAGTTGTGGAGAGTTGCGGAGTGTGTTCTACCCAGGCGTGCAGCAGCATGGAGTTGGAGGAGCAGGTTCTGGATCCCCTCCCGACCCACAGGCTGCTCTCCTCCATTCGTTCATGCCGAATATGCCAAGGCCATGCAGGACAACGACGAGACCGCGCAGAAGGCGCTGGAGGTCATCTGCCCAGAAATATCTACTAAGTGGGTCCCGCCGCCGACCCCAACAAATGAGGAAATGTTGGCAACGAACGCGCAGAATATTCGACAGTTGCAAGCGCAGCAAGACATAATCAAAACTAAATTGGTGGCGACGGCCAAGTCTCAGAAAGAGTTGCAAGAGAAGCTGCTTGCCAACATACAGCAACGCCTGGACTTGCAAGCAGAGGTGGACGCCATCAAGACCCCAGCAGGCGCAGCGATGGCAGCAGCGGCGGCAGAGGCAGCAGCAGCAGAGGATGGTTTCCCAGAGTTGTCAGCAGAAGATATTGCCAGCCTTGGTGAAGGGGGCAAAACAGAGTGCGAGGCGGCACAGGCAGCTGCTGAGCAAGTTCGTGATGTGCTACGACAAGCAAAGCATGCAGGCACAAGTGCGAAATTTACAGCAGAAGATACGCAACCTCCACACCGCGGCGACAACCAAGTGACGTAAAGGAGCCGCAGGTGGAGCTGCCCCAGCCAATGATGTCAAGCTGGAAGAAGAGGAGGAACCCCCGAAGGTGGACTTCACGAATCCAGAGGAAGTTGATCGGACATTGCGGCCACGACCAACATCAAGGCAAAGGTCAAGGCACGGGCACCGACGGCGGGAGCGCCATCGGGGACATCGAGTATTTAGCAAGACCGTGAAGGGCAAAGAGGCTGATCAGCATCAAGCTGGCAAGAAGACTGTTCACATATTCTGTTCGAACGTGACAAGCTACAGCGAGAATGTGAAGCACGACGTGGCGCATGCAGATTTTGACGTGATCGGCCTAGCCGAGCAGCACCTGCTTTCTCGAGCAATCAAGACAGGCGCAGAAGCTACGACGACAAGGATGGCAATCGCAGTTTGCGTGGACACCAGCTACACCAACGGGTACGAGTGTGAAGGGCACACGAGGGGGCACCTGTTGGATGGCACGGAGCAAGTTAATGATGTCGGCTCACCTTCCCGATGGATCGGGCAAGAGTGTGTTCCAGAAGCAGCTGACGGACATCTCAGTTATGTTGTGGCGGCTCCAAGGGGTCACAGTGGGGCTTGTCTTTATCTACCTCGACACGAGCAAAGGCTTCGAGGGCGTCAGTGCGCAGAAGATGGTTCAGCTGATGCGCATTGTCAAGTCTATGTCAGTTCCATGGGTTGCGGTTGGCGATTGGAACAGTGCCCCTGAACAATTTCAAAGCGCACGTTGACGAAGGGCGCTGAAGGGGGAGCTGCTCTTGCCGACTGGGTGCGCAATCACTTGTGCATCAGGAAAGGGGCGCGCTAGACTATGAGGTCTGCTCTCGGAACTTCCGACCGTTGATCAAATCGCTCTGTCCAGCGGGGAATGTGCCATGGAGGGCGCGCTTAGGGCCGGGCTTGGGACTACATGCGAGACCGGCGGCTGCGTGCATCCAGGCCCCAATCTTGCCAGTGCAATTGGACTTGCCGAAGTCGGCCATCACCGCGGTTAAGGGGGCGAAGCGGCCCCAGAGAGATCGCGAGCGACGTGCCAAGCTGCAGGTCCAAGCAGCACATGAAGGGCTGATCCAAGGCGGCTTTGGTTTTGATGAGCACGCAGCGCTCTCGGGCGAAGCCTATGAGAAGTAGGTGCGCAGCACCGTGACGGGCGCCCAACGGCAGGGGGCGGCCCAGCTCACCAGTGACATGCAGATGGGCGCGCCGCACAAGGGTGCGATTCAGTCGCGGGCATGCGCGCGCGACCGTGAAGGGGCAATGCACTTGGGAAGGCACTTTTGAGAATGGACTGCGGCAGCAGAGCGCCCACTTTGCATCGCGGCGAACTCCGCCCAAAATATGAATGCGGGAAGAGGGCGTGCCAACGTATATGTCAAGATAAAGGCAGCGGCTTAAGGGCGACCAGAGCCGCTCACTCATTCAGCCGCACGCGAAGAAGCCAACATATGTGAGGCCCTCCCCTTTCGATTACGTGAAGTGGCAACGTTGCAAGTCAGGTGTGCAGAATTGGTTCAGTTGAATGTGGCATTCGATGCAGCTGACAGACTCAGACAGCGGTCACTACGACTACACCGCCTGCCAGATCGCAAACTGGAGCAGCGGGACCGAGAACTGGATGCAGCAGTATTGAGGGACATGGGCAGCGCGCTGGGACTGTCACCAGGCCCTCCAGCAGACGCAGGACCAGTTGCGCAAGGAGCTGAGGGCAACAGTGCGGTGGACCCAGGCATCCAGGAGCTGATAGGCAGAGTTCCTGGATTGCAATACCACCCAGGCACGGACATCCTTTTTGTTGGCAGGTTACCAGAACAACAGCACCCAGTGCCGCAAGATCGACCTGGTCGTCATCCCATGGATGATGAAGATAATGGCCCATTTGCAGATCTGGAAGCTGACCTGGATGGGCGAGATGAACCTCCAATCGGATCTAATATAGGATTCAAGCCTGCGATGCTCCGCTCCTCGCTGCCGCGCCCCAGCACAGGCGGTCAGAGTGCGACTCGGGACGGGAGGGCCTCTGATGGGGCCGCGTCGGTCCTTGGACCTCCCTCACCTATGCACGAGTGCGAAGAACGGACTGCGACGGATGCGGACCGACAAAAGTTGCATCCAGGACGTGGGCAGCAAGACTCTCACGCTGGCGGTGTGATCGATGCGCAACCAGTGCAACCAGCGCGAGTATGCAGTAAACCAAGCAAAGATCCTTACACGTAACTCCAGAAGGTGAACATAGTGCACCAGCCAAAGATCTACACGCAATTCCGCGTAATTCAGTGCAGCTTTTGAACGCAGTGTCCAGCGAGATGGTGGCGCAAGGACCTACCAGCGAGCTGAACGTCATGCGCAGTTGGCCTGGAAGGCGACGAGATCCCAAGTCCGAGCCTGGGCAACCAAGGCAACTGAAGATGCGTGCAAGCAGGCGCATCGCTACTTGCGCAAGGAGGAGCGGAGCGAGACCAGTGATGGCTGTCTGAACCCAGAGACCCATGAGTGGGAGGTGAATCCCATCAAGGGCATCGAACTACGACGCAAGGCGCGGGATCAGCGATGGACAGCACACCGTGAACATGCCCATGCGATGCAGCAGGCGCTGAACATGCTCAAAAGTC